TATACGCACCTCGTCCACAATGATATACTTGGTCGGGCTTTTCTCAACCCACCTGATGGATTTTTTAAAAGATGTGTTTTTTTTATTGGCACTTGGATTCCTTCATGAAAGCAATGGTAGATCCATCCACTTCATTTATGTATTACGCAGAAACTTGCGGCAAGAATCGAGGCGAAATATAGCAACCCATCTTGCAGATCTTATATATGTAAATTGCACGGTAAGTCTAAGAATTCAGGCAATCATTTTTTATTGTTTCATTATTTTACAACGTGGCATCATGGGAAATCATAATTTACTCATGAGAGTCTGATCGTTGAAATTGATATTTGCCATTGAATAGCTTAGTGGTCGCACGAAGCTAATGTAACAAATCGGTGTCCGGGAATATATATTGTAATAATTTTTTTCACGTATTTTCCTTCCGACTAACAACATAATCTGTTATTCAAAAATTTTTCTAATGGCGTAAAATAGATTTTTGTCAAAATGTCTGTTCGTTTTACCTGATTTTCTAGTGTACTTGTCCCCCTAGAGTTCTAAAAATGGCACTTGTCATGTTCCAGAAATAAGCTCTAGAATCCATTCTAATTTCATTTCTAATGGTGTCATAAAATGGTAAAATTGTTCAAAGTAGAAAAAGTGTTTCCGCTTTTGTTGTAAGCTAATCGTATGGCTTGAAAGTGCCATTGACTTAACAAGTTGAAACGAGCAAACTTTGACTTTAAATAAATGTTATCAAAAGCCACAAGAACTAGTTTTTCTTTTGCACAACAGTCAAGTTTCAGTTTTTAATCGCAGCTGAATAAATCTTACGGTCAACACTCACCGTGAGATTTATAAGCGAACAGCGGTGCACGATGAGATTATTTGAAGAGAAAATCATGTATTCAGCGAAAGTGTTTGCTAATTTCATAATTGCTTTTATTTTTGTCTCTGGCAACCCACACAAAGAAGTTAGAATAGATTGACTGACAAAGAGATTTGATTTTGACCGTAGTTTATAGTTGACCGGGACATAGGTTACGAGATCACGAGATACATTTGTTCGTTGTTGATTTCAACTGAGTAAGTCGGTTATATGCGTGGCGAGACTATAATTCAACGAGCGATATCAGACGCCATTACAGTTTTCACGTGGACCTTTGCAATGCAAGGGGCAATAACCAGGTCTCGCGTAACACATAGTGTGTATGCGTGTATGAGCAGCATAGTCGAACAAGCTGACCATGTTATTACGGGAAATTCTTGCTCTCGATCGAATCGCGTGCGCGCGCAATTTCCTTTTTGTACTTGTGCGAGCATTTTGACTTTTAGGCACACATAGCGTGTAGTGATATAACTCGCCTACCTACGGGAATAAGGAAATACTTTCGCGTGCAAACTTGGCGCTTTGATTATTTTTTTTTTCTTTAAACTCGTTTCCAGAACAAATTGATGAGTCGGAAATTTTTCTACAATACGCACAAAACAAGTCTATTGTATAGAAAGAAAAAACAAAGAAATCCTAAGTGTTTGCCGAGAGCGGTATACATTAAAAATATCCTATCATTCCGTAGTCGATAATGTTTAATTTTCATTTTACATATAATATGCTCTCTAATCTTTCTCGTGTAGCTTATAGCAAATTACATCATCGTTTTCATGACGTCAGTCAGTTAAAAAATTGAGTACCACTGCAATAAATAACTTTAATACCGGAGAGCCCACAACTCAGTCTCTATTTTAAATTGATGCTTTGATGGGCGAAAGAATTTTAGCTTTATGCGTCATTTTCACTCGATGCTTGGAAAATTAAAATATAATCGCGTAGGTTTGTTTTTCCTGTCGGGAACCTCTCGAGGAAAGTATATGTTGCGCACAGAGTTTCATTTATGAAAAGGTCATGATCGTATCGGCGCAAATCTACGTTTAAAATGATTTCATCGCTATAAATTATAGGTGTCTAATGAAAGAAGAGCACGCTCAAGGAAGGCTATGCCGTCATGGATTCTCATTTTCAATTTAGATATATACCTATAAAACATTTCTCAATATGCATATTTAATACACGTGATGCGGTAGAAAATCAGTCAGTAATTCAGCAATTAAGATATGCTCGTAGAAGAGCGAGTAAGAGATAGGCTCGTATTTACTTATCAAGGCTATTACTTTTTTTATATTATCGAAAATAATTATTGAAATTAAAACGCTCGATGCAGGTTTCCTCTAAGTCGTTAAAGTAGTATGTTTACATCCGTTTTTCATCTTGATCAATGGGTACGATGAGTAACATTTGGTAAAAAAAGACATCATTGCTTTTTATTTCAATTTAAGTCGATTGGAATCCAACATCGTATGTGCGTATACTCACACACACACACACACACACATATTTACGCACGATCGTGACATAAGGAGTCAGTCATTTTCGTTACATCGGAATGTGAAATGCGTTCCTGTCGTGGATTTAACGAAAGAATTGGAAATCCGCAAACAATATCCGCAATGCCGTAGCATTTTATTCAAGCACGCTATATATGCATCTAGCGACATCGGCCCTCGCTGGCATTCCGGCCAAAATGAAAATTCAATTCTCGCGCGCAACCATCAGCAGCGAAATCGGCATCGTTCCCTCGGGCGCGCGTATAAAGCTGCATGTACACACAAGCCTTCGTAATACAGCGAGCCATGCACATATTTCGAAGCCTGTGCGCGTTCTGCACATGTGCGCAGCGAGGAGACCTTTCTAAAAGGAAAAAAAAAGGTGACCGAGGGAAAGAAAAAAGGAGTTGAAGCAGACACACGTTAGATGCTTATACATAGTGGCAATCCTTTGTGGCCGCTGCGCGAAGGTCTTCGAAACGGGTGAGAGGCATATAACTACGTATGTCTCTTTTATATGTGTGCAGTGCTGCACTGCGCCTCACACACGCAAGAATGCCACGAATGCAAGCAGCCGCACGTTTCACTGTCATCTAGCTATGTACATATATGCCCGTGTAATTGCAGCTAAGCAATCGCGTCGCCCAAGAAATCTCTATTTCATCCAATTGACGCCAAACTCTTGTATACGAGAGCCGCAAAACGTATATATATTGTCAATCTTATTTTACAAATGCTTCGTTTGAATTATATTTCAAAGGCGTTTCGCCTACTGTAACATTTGCTGGTTCGCTCATCTTTAACGTTATTATAATTCAACGCTAAACTTTTTTCTTTTGCAATATGTTCGCCTGAAGAACTATTCGTGCTGGTTCTTTCTTGAATAAATAAACAAATAGCACTCTCGAGTCGTACTCTTAGAAAAAAAAAAAAAAAAAAAAAACTAAAGATATACGCAATCGAGAACAAATTTTGTCAAGGATTTCTATTGCCGTTTTTTTCAGTAATACCTTCTGCAATTTGCTTGTCAAAACGTGAGATTTCTCCGCTGGTATAAAGTGAACAGATAAGAGGATTGAAATTCCAGACTGAAACATTGAAAAGTTTGTATTGAGAAAAGCAATCTATTACTAGCACTTTCTACTAAAGGTCTATTATGAGCGGGCGAAGTTTAACGTACTCTTTGACAGCTTTGCAAAGACCAACATAGCGTAGAGTGGAGGGGACAAGGTCTTTGGAATGAGCTTTTTAATAGAAATCAATGAGGCTATTAAAGAAATCAAGTCTAAAAAAATAGTTTGTTTGCTACTGTTTGGTGCGCTTCACCTTAGAATTGAGAAAAAAAGTAGAAAGTTCAAATGGTCAACGTGAATTGAAATAGAATGGTAATTGTGTGCTGCAGCGTTTGGCTTACGCACTTGCACTTGGCTCTGACAAAAGATCAATTTAATCAGTATGGTTTTGCGGTACAGCGGTTAAACAGCTCGCGGCTTTTATTATAATACAGAGCCGCATTGCGCACGGGACTCGATTGCAAGAAAGTGTCGAGATGTATATTTGGGTATTTCACCGCAGAGTCGGATGACAATGGCAAAATATATATATGAGCTTCCGGCCTTGTGGATTAATTCCGTTAGCATTTCTCCGTTTAGCAGTACTCGACTGATATTCTTTTGTTTGTGCTATTAATTATCGAACGTAGTTATCGAATCGCCATCTTCCAAGAAGCTTGAAATATGCAGCCGTTTTGTTTGATTATTAGTTTGAATGAATCATTCCAGCGGTTGTTCAGTTGGCGATGAGTCTAGAACGAAAGTGAATGAACGACACGTGCATATTGATCGTGCGAACTAAATGGTTTTTAGAAGCGTTTCCTTTTCTCTCTCTCTCTCTCTCTCTCTCTCTCTCTCTCTCTCTCTCTCGCTATCGAAGAATATGTCTGCTTTTGATGGGGCACACACGCGCAGTATATGCTTTATCTTTTGGTTCCGTAGCGCGATGAAAAAAGATGCCTTTCATCTCCCCCAGACTATAAATTTCAAATGTTTTTAATGTTCTTCAAGTATGCTAATCAGCTTTTTTTCTACACGCACGTGAAATACATGGGTTTATTAAATGGAAATTTTGATAAATTTTAAATAACATTGGCTATTCGTGGTATAAGAAAAAACTTGTATTATTTCAGCCATGAAAAATGATCGGACTTGGATGAAGATTAAACGTTCTTGTCAGCAGTTGTTTGTTGCGCATTTTTTCACGGGGAAGGCCGTTCCACCGCAAATGGTTTGCAACCAAAGTAGGCAATAAGCATAATTCGAAAAGTTTGCGAAAAAGTGCAAGCTCGAAAGACGCAAGAAATAGCGGCCGAGAATGCGTGGTTTACATGTGCGAAGGCGATAGCGCGGCACATGAGGCCCCCGCGAGAACCGACTGTACGTATACATTGCGGCCTGCCGCGACTGCGACGGCGGCGGCGGCGGCGGCGGCACACAATCACTCTCGGCTGGGTCCCCACCGATCCCAGCTCGCCTGCGCGCTCTCTCCCGCGCGCGAGTGGTGCTTACCGACTGCGCCTTCCCCACCTCTGGTGCGGGGCCGAATGAGCGAGCGGCGCTTGGCTTTTGAGCTACGAGCACTGCCGAGTGACCTGGGCCGCAGTTAGACCGAGTCCGTTCGCGCATTCGCATTTATTTTGTGGAGGCGCGTGTCAGCAATCGAAGGAACAGCGAGAGAGAGAGCGAGAGAGAGAGAGAGAGAGAGAGAGCCTGCCAGCTTTCGAGCTTTCGAGCGGCTCCGAACCAACTTGCCGCTCTTTCCGTTCGCTTGTCATCAGTAGTGCAGCTTGCATCAGTGATATATCGTACAGGTGAAAGAGCAACCGTAGTGACAGTCTACTCGTACAGTGATCGAAAGAGATCGTGCCCGTGTGCGAAGCCCGGCCATTCAGCGGAAAAGTGGACGAGTGACAACAACAAGAACAACAAAGAGGAGCAGTCTGTTTACGTAAGGAGCGACGCGCTCGCGTTATATACACGTAAGTTTCATAACTGTTTGGAGCTGCTGCTTTCGTCCAGCGTCAACGCGAAGGCGATCTCGCATTTTCGAAACCGCGACCGGCACCCATCACTCTGCCCCGTTCTTTCGCTCCTTTTCTTTTCTTCTTTGATATCACAATGAGAGAGAACGAAAGCCGGAAAAAGCGGCACCTACACAAACAGTATGCTAAGGAACTTTTCGACATGCGGGAAGCCTCGCGCGCGCGCGCGTGTGTGTGTGTGTGTGTGTCGTCCGTAGCAACAAGAGAAACGCGCTTCCTCGAGCGTGTACGAGCATCCGGGTGCACCTACCCTCTCGAACTGTCGCTTATTGCATCTATATACCTCCCGTTCGCCAACTCTCTTCTTCTGCATTGCATAACCCTTACATCAACGTGGTACTTTTCCTTTTTTTTTTGTAATTGCCTCGCGGGATTTGACTACGATATGGCAATCGACACCTTATTTCTCGATGATAAGTCTGAAGTTCTCCATAGAAAATAGACACATACGGTCGCAAATCAATGGACAAGTATTTAATTAACGCTTTTATATAATCTTTCACGGAGGAAGTATTAAGATTGTGTGTACGTACGCGTGGAAAACGTTCACGTGCAGTGTCTGTTCTTTTGTGCGTATGCAGCCTTTTTTCCCAACGCAAGAAAGCAACCGCTGGTCTCTGTCAGTTGCTGGAATTATTAACAAAAAAGAGAAAAAGAGCTGGCGACTATCGCACTATGAGGAAAGGCTGTAGATGCATCGATAAAGCAGTGCGGTTCTGGCAAAGAAGAAAAAACAAGGAAAAATAAAAAGAATCGCCGTTAAAGTATTTATATATACTTGCATAATACACACACTCGAGTGGCTCACGAAAAATTTCACTCTTTTCAAAACTGACGTATAGCTGAGTAATTATAAAAGATTACGTAAGCCGGTTATACAGCTGCATTAACAGGTTGTGCGTTCGTGCATTCGCGAAGCACATCGGGTTTTTTTACTAAAATTATCATGATACCATTGTGAATTCCATTAAGAATCATGGGCATAATGCATCGCGATAGTAGAGGGAAAAAGAGAGGATGCGGAATAATAAGGTCAGATTGAATTGGGCAGCGGAGTTCGAAAGCAGGCGTAACGAGGACCGTTCCGGCAAGATGCTGCGTCGAGCCACTGGGTACGTAGCGTGAAAAGCCATTTGCTCGGGTGCATTAAGGTACCGTTCACTCCTTGCGCGCTATTTCTCAATTCGCGCTATTCCCGACGCCCCGAAATCACAGAATGCATCGGCCGCGTCCTTATACCGTTGGCTTTCCGGAAAAATACGGACGTGCGCATCCGCGATAAGCGCGCAAGTACAGGCACTTCGCAATGCTCTTTCTGTCTTTCGCTTCGCACGAACTCGTACCAGCGCGGCTCGTTTTCAGGCAGTGACAGACAGGACGAGTTTTCGGACTAGCCCGTGGAGAGCTATCGACGTGAGCTCATCAAAGACCAAAAAAAAGAAAAGGAGAAGAAAAAACGAGTTTGGTTGTTTATTCGCGCGCACGACTCGGACTGGAATAATTCGGGGTTGCTCGCTTGCTGCGCTTGTCCTGTATCGTGGGACAATCTCGCTTGATTTTGCAATTTCATAATAAATTTTCCATTCGCAAATATTTCTCGCTGTCAACATGTCCAGCGAGAAAGTTGCTTTGGCTCTGGACGAAAGAATCAAACCGCAATTCCTGATAAATATTTATATAGATTTTTTTTTCTAAATGCAAAGGAGGACAAATCAAGTGGAATATGAGAATATAGAAAAAACAAACAGTGGAGAGCGTGAAAAGGCACGAGGATTCATTGACTAGTGGGTGACTAGTTGGGTGTTGGTGAAGTGAATCTCAGATCTGCGCTCTAAATACCTCGCACTAGATAACGAAGTTTCAACAGGTTATTTCAGGACGATTTATATATCGAGTACATAGCGCACATAGCAGTAATCTGTCGGATATCAACTGCTGGGCAGAAGTAAGAAACGTATGTTTGTCAAGCAAGCCAAAAGATGAGAAGGATTTCGTACGGCTTTACTATGGAAACATGAAGAAGACACAGGGCGTACAACAGCACAAGCAGGATCGACTTTTGCTCGCCGACCATACATGATGTAAGTAAATTGTGGCTCCGTTTCATTTCATTTCACTTCATTTCATTTGGATTCTCTGACGCGCCACAGCGTGAGCAAGTCACGAGTTTCTATGTCGATAGAATAAATGTTGGACTCAGTCCTCTCATCGAATACCGTTTCGTGGCGCATTCTTATTACTATTCGCTTAATTAGAATATTGCGAAAGCAAATTTAACGCAAGAAGAAAAGGACGCGTTACAATGGTTTAAAACAATCGTGTACTTTTTCGTTCTTAAGTTGTAGCTCAGATTGGGAATTATGACTCAATAATAAAGCGCCTGAGAAAAGAATAAAACTTTGATTGCAGCTATGAAAATTTTACATTCTGCCGTTGGAAAAACGAAACAACCATAAATAACGTAATTGGCGTCCGCGCCGCATTTTTAGTAACAGTAAGTAACGACACCTCTGGATGAAAAGAAATTATAATCGAAAAACACCCTTTTTTTGCTCGTTACGAGTAAACAAGTAAAACGGTATTTTCGTTGCGGCTTTGGGCTTTTCATTCTCTACTTCAATTAATCGCGCCGAATGATACAACGACAATGGCTATTTCAAGATTTAACTTGGGCCAATGCGAGTCCGCGATAATGGAGTAACTATTGCCGGTGTGTCGGCTCAACAAGTTTGCTTCCACGAAAATGTCCGAGTGGATGATAATAAAGCATAGGACATGGCCGAGAAGGCTGCGGTTAAACACGTAGAGCGCGTTTATCGAGAGCGCGCATGCCGCATGAGAATGAGGCACACCTCCTGTACGCGTACTGCGCTGCGTCACTCGACGCCAAATTATCAAAGATTAGCGGAACATCGAGCCTCGGCGCGAAACGCTTCACCGTCGTAACGAGCCTTTACAATGAGCGAAATATATAGCCGTTCGTTTTCACTTTCGGTATGTAAGCGCAAAGCCCGCCAGCCGTCAAATAAACGGAGGCATAATTTAACATGGTGCTGAAACTGCGTGATAACGAGAGATTTTATCGATCTTGTACTTGCTTTGGGCGCGCGCGAGCAGCGAGAGGAGAAATTTTCGATCATTGGCTTCGAAAGAGAGCCTGGCGCGGCGATCTAGGAGAGCTCGCGCTCTGGAACCAGCCCGCTTTTATTAGATCGTTAACTCGCGCGCCGCGGAGGGCCTCCTTCCTCCAACAACAGCTCCATCGATTGTCACTTTCGACTTTCTTTTGCGCTTTAGCCACATTATTCACTTATAAATTGCCCGATAATAAGTCAACTATTTTTGAAAGCGCTGCCGATTTTCAAGGTTGCCACTCTCTCTCTCTCTCTCTCTCCCTCACTCCGTTATTGTAGGCCTCTATCATGCAAACGTCACACGTAACGCCTCAGATTGACGCTGCCTACGTGAGTGGAGCGGCATTTCTCCTGCACTTTTGACGATTTCCAATGGATCAGATTTATTCGCACGCTCACGGGCATGTCAACATTTCGACGCCAGTTATGAGTTGATATTTTTGAGAGAAAGGTATCGCGCGTAATCCGACAGGACTATACTGCTGTTCGCCAATGGCAAAGTCAAATGAAATTTTGACGTTAGAGTCGGTGAGATTTTTCTCAGCCTTAGTTGAATTGAGTTTCTCATAAGGGCATCGGATAATGCACGCGTCGCTATAATTACGGCAAATACTTCAAGCCGTTTGGATCGGCGTATCTCGAGACTTGTTTAACTCCAATTAATCTAACTGATAGAAAACTTGGCGTAGCTTGAAAAAACGCATTACATCAAACATTCCAGGATAATGTCCAAGCTGCTGCTTTTATCAGATGATTTCGTGAAAAATAGTACGTTTGTAACATCTCTCAAAACCTGTTTGATAATGAGCCCGCCGTAGATTTCGGAACCAAGACCTCGCATAAGAGCCTAATGCAGCGCGAGAAACGCAATCTCTTAGTGATTAGCCTAAACGAGGCCCGGTGTAATGGTGTCATTTAATCCAGATGGGATTGGATGTCCAAAGCTGCAGTAGGTGGCAAAAAAAAAAAACAGCCAAGTCCATTAAAGATCTTCATTTAAAGACAAATTGGAATGTGGTCGTGCGAGAGCCAACCTCGTACGTATAGCAAACAATGGAAGCTCGTACAACTGGCGCAAAAGGACCGAAGTGCGGTAAATATTTCGCGCACGTTGCATTGCGCTGGAGTCTTGCGAGGCCAGCTCATTTGACTCCGCTATGACAGGTCAAAATGAAAGTGAACAGCCGCAATTGGAATAAACTCTGGGGACACAAGCTCCGCCGTAATAATTGTTGAAAGCAGAGAGGTCTTCGTCGCTCGTGAGGAGAATACGTTAGGCGACGAAGCGGCATGAAACTCGCATTAACCGAGAAAACGATGCGCGCAGCGCGGACGACGCTGAAATTTATGAAGGGAACGTCGGCGTCGCAAGGCAAAGCGCAGCCCCGGGAGCCGCCGCGGAAAGGCTGCGCGCGATCGGGCACTCGATTGAAATTTCGCTGGAGCGAAACGCGCGGCACATAACAGCACGCGTCGGCGCCGCCGCGCGGTACCGAGCGAGAGAGCCTTCGGGTAAGCTGCGAGTATCGTGTGACCGCGAGCGCGCTCGGAGCACTTTCGTTTCTCTCGCTTCTCTGACACAATCCAGGCCGTTACACTTTCCTCGCGAGCAGCGCCGGTAGGCCATCTAAAGAGCCTCGCCTCTGCGTACGTACTCGGCCGGAGCAGCCGTCTAGCGCTCGGCTGTCCTCGCAGGCGTAACGATCGCCCGATACCGTTCGATCGCGATCGTTGCGTATTAACTCGATACGATATTCGATTTTGGCGTTGCCCCCCGCCCACTCTATCATTATCTTAATGGCATTGTTAGGTCCGATCTCTCGCTTGGCCGTGCTGCTCCCGTAAGGGGATCGTCAATTTGTAAGTCGGTGCGTCCGCCTCGTTATTCAAGCCTCGTGTCCGGCTGTGCTCACTTGGACTCTGTATCGATGTCGATCCTTTTTGTAGCACCCATTATAATGATTTAACCACGCGGCTGACTTATGCAGTCTCGCTCTCTCGATTATTTTTCGCACGTCGTCTCGACGTCCCTGTGACACGTTGGCTCCTCTTCCTTGGCTTTTAGCTAAACTTGAACCTGAAAAAATGCAGCCACTGGTAGGTGCCGGTTACGTAAGTCGCCAGAGAAAGTTGATAAACAATCGAGACTGCTCAACGTCCAATTGTCGTGTGCATAGCGCTCATTAGCCGAAAGCGGGCAGCCGCGGCCATTCGGCAATGTCGCCATATCAGCTTTCGTGAAAAGCTTTTGCCAAAGCGATAGGCAACATCGATAGGCGTAATTGGCGTATAAAGCAGCGTCAATCGCGCTATTTTCAAATTGATTGAAAAGTCGTCGTATAGCTGATTTGGTATGCACAAGCAACGGCGGCATTTCAATATCGAGGACTGAGTCAAGTTTTCACTCGGAATCGCTAACGACTTGCATTCACCGAGTCGCTTGATCGCGCGGTGGTGGCGGCGACGGCGGCGGCGTCACCAGTAGCAGCCTAGGGAAGATTGTTGCGTCAACGCAACGGTCGCCCAGCAAACTCGATCAATGCCACAATAATCGGCATTGCCTGTGACTGCCCACCTGTCGCATTTACATAACTGACGCGACGGCAGCGTCGAGTATATTCGTTCGCTTTTGCCGAGCTGCTGCCTCTCGTCATTTTTCGACGCTGCTGCGGAGAAGAGCGACATTTTCACGTGTATACTGTTGCCAGTGCCTGCTGGCGCGCCGGCGCGCCGCGGCTGTTGCACCGCCGGCTAATTACTGTACTTGAGCGCACTTGCACAGCAAGAGAGAGAGAGAGAGAGAGAGAGAGAGAGAGAGAGAGAGAGAGAGAGAGAGAGAGTTTCCTTCCGTCTTCCGCTCTGCCGCGCGCTCCTCGCTCTTTCCCTGGCTCGCCTGGTGGCCTCGTCGCGCGATACGAGTCGAGCAACTCCTCGTAGACCAGCTGCCGACGTGTCGGCTTCTCTGATGCTGCCATTACGCTCCACCGATTGTTCCCGCTTGATGCTTCTCTTCCCTTCAGCGAAAGCCCTCGAGTCGTGTCAGCATGCGCGCGACCAACGACACAGCTATCATCTCGCACTTTGTATGCCTCTCGTAACTTCCTTTTATTACCGTTTAACGCTTTATAGGTTTTTCCACGTGCATGCAAAATGCCCAGTAGTAACATCGCGTACTATCCAAATTAAAAAGCAACTGCTGCTGCTGCAGCGCACTTTCTTGCGTATTACGTTGTAATGCGCTGCTCAACGGAATATATATGTTTCAAAAGCAGACAGGATATCGGCGATTTCCTCTGAGGCGTGTAAACGTGGCAATTTCACTATCCAGATCGAAAGCCATGAGACCTTTCTTTTTTCCTTTTCTTTTGCTCGTTGATCTTTCTGCCGATTTAGATCGTCTAGTGCGAGCTCGAGAATCGAAAACTTTTACCCGCGATTCAGGTGAGAGAAAACAACATGGACACGACCTCGCTACGTAAGTATTCTCGAAGGCGGACGATTCGCATGCGACAATACTACCGAATTTCAACCAAGACAACACACTGCGGACAACGACATGTAACGTACCAATGATCCCGAGAACACTTCAAAATTCACGATGCGCGTAAGGCAAGACACAGCGATCTTCGCATTCAATTTCGACTTTTATATCATAAACAACGGGACATTGCTTGGAAATTATTTCTTCGATATAGGTTGCTTACTTGGACTTTATGCATGTTTGGCATCAACGACTTTGGTGTACTTAAATCTTCTTTTTTTCTTACTTCACAGATGAGACATTTAAATGTATATTACACGATCTTAGATAGTATCCAAATGGAAAATTCTATCCAATAATTATTGGAGTCGAAGTTTGAAGGCTTACGTCTTTTGTGCACTACTTTCTCGATAACATATTACATACATTGAATTTATCAGGACGATAATAGGCTATAATTGAGGCG